ATTTAATATTTAAAGCTATAAAGCTTCTATATTCACTCCGTAGAAAATAATACAAAAAAAACCCAAGGACCTTCCTGAATTTTGAACCTAACTTTTCAATTTTAGCTTTAACTAATTTGGTTGCCCTTTTGGGAAAACCGATGTGAACCGTTTTACAGGCTTAAGTTTAGTCTTAGCTTTCGTTTCGGCTTGTGATTTTTCCCCTCAACATTTGGCTTATTCGACTAATTAAAAGTACGTGTAATTATTAATATTATTTATGTATATGTTATATATATAATATATATAAGGTTCCTTCTTGTAACTTAACTAGAGCTTCGTCTGATGTTCACATTTAGCTGCTCTACTCATGAAGCGACTAACGCGTGAGAGTCAAAAGTGTGTGCCAAGAAATTCTGCTTTTGTTGATTATATTGTTCAATAGTTTAGCAACAATTTATGGGTAAACCATGGATGAGGATGATCGGTGAATAAGAAATGGGTGGATGTGGATATGGAAATGGAATTTGTAATGGGAGTGCTGTGGAAAAGTCATATGTTCTATCTGAGGAGTTGTAGTTAGGATACACGATTTGTTTGTTGTCAGGCTTAGTTTGTCGTTTGTTTTTCTGTACAAAAAGACATACAATACTGCGTATGTGGTTGTTTGTATATAAGTGTATATATTTTATAAGTATGTATAGTTTCCGTTTGTTGCATCCTTTTCGTTAGTATGTTGTATATATAGCATAGTTGACGAGTGTTCCGAAGTTGATTTTGGTTTGGTTTGCATTAAAGTTAGTTACGTGTGTATGGTTTAGTTGTTCATGTTGTTGTGGGTAACATTACGTCATACAATATAGCAGTAAATAGGTATCGTAGCTGTTGTTCTTCTTCTTGTTGGGTTTACTTTTCAGTTCAAAGAGGGTCAAGGATGTCTGTTTTCTAGGGGGTTTTTTGGTCGAAAGAGAGAAAATGGGGGATCGGTCGGATGGAACCAAACCCAGAAATTAAAAAATTAAGAGGAGTCTAGAGATACAATGAAATGGTAGAGTAGAGGTTCAGTTTAATGTACAGTTATGCATAATAGATCAATTATAATATAAGTAGTAGTTGTTGTCATTAATAGTTGTTATACACAAATAAGCCACAAAAACTGTACAACAATTGTACATGAATAAAAAACTTATGCACGAGAATTTATCGACGGTTTCCAAAAAGTCTCCTCACTAGGCTATTATTTACCTTTTCCTTCATCCTCTATTTTTGTATTTCATCGCATATGTATATAACTATGTAATCGAACATGCACACACACACACGTGATCTATATATATATAGCAATTATATATATATATTCTTTATTTATATATAACAAGAACGTTTATTTGTTAGGTTTTTGTTTATCAAGGGTTCTGTTTATTATGCTCATTTAGTTTACTATACAAATCGTCTTGTTTTGTGTCATTTAACATAATTTTATTTCATTAACTTCATCGTTTTGCTGAGAACACAGTTTACTATGTAAATATTTAAAGCTTTGGTGGCGGCGAAAAAATCAACAACGAAAATTTCACGTAAATGAAAACATCAACTGAAAATAAAGTCATACAAATTTATACATATATATATATATACGATTTCTATATGGTTACGAGTTAAGATGTGAATTGAAGACCGCTTTAGTTCTTAGTTCTTTCGCATTTCGATTTTTATACACATACATTATACATAAACAACCGAAATTAACAACAACAGAAATGAATTAACAGAGCTTATGATTTCTTTTATTTTTGTTTTTGTTCTTAGTGTGTTTTGATTTTGGTTTTTTAGTTTTTGTTTACCAAAAATGAGGCTAAGCAAATAGTACTGAACTTTACAAGTTTTGGCAGTACGCATCTGATTTACTTTCATCCTTTCCTCCTAAAATTATGCAATATACAATGTTCTCGCTTCCAACGCTTCGTCCCTTCTCAACCTTTCCGTCATCAGCTACTAGTTGTGGTATTAATCCTTTAAAAATATACTCATAACGCGCTACTTAATTGTTTTAAAAGTTCATCTTCCGTATGTCAATATAATATATTAACTAAGTTTAATAAACAAAGTTCTTTCAATATCGTCGTTTTCAATCGCTTTCCCGTGTCATCATTGTTCTCCATCTCCATCTTCCTTTCAAATGTGGTTGCCGCTTCGCTTCGTCTGCTTTCTTTTTTTTTAAGTTCCGTATCGAACTGAAAACTAACCTCAAAATATCGCTACCTAAAAAATCATAGTTGTATAAAGAGTCCTCTTGCTAGGAAAGAGAGATTCAGAGCCTTGGCTTGCTTGCTTCTACAGTGAGTCTGGCAGAGACAGAAGAATTCCCTCTTCTTCAGCATTTCTCAACTTTTTTAGGTTATGTACAATATTATTTTGTTGTTCAGGTGGAGGTGGAGGTGCGTGGGAAAGGGAGTGGCATGTGCGATTTTTTTGTTTTGGAGTTAACGCTTCACTTTAAGGTTAATTGCTAAAGTTCCTTTATTCTGCCATCGTTTATCCGTATTCTCTTATTAGTGTTCGTTTAACTGCTATCACTTTCCATTTTAATATTATTTTAGATTTACTTCGGTTTCCTTTTGTTTAATATTAATTGTTTGCTTTTGTTTTATATTTCTTTAATAAAATACAATTTTTCTAAACAAAGTTTTTCAGTTTTGCGGGGGAGGGAAAATGGGACAAATGGGGTGTGGGATACACAACTTTTTCTCTTGTGACTGTTTCCTTATTTCGGTTTCATTACCTTTCTCGATTTTGCTAGTTTTATGTCGTTTATGTAATGTTTTAATGCATTTTACTCTCTTTTACTTGTTTTTGCTCATATTTAAATGGTTTTATCTGTTATTTGTTATACGGTGTGTTCTTTCTTTTGCTTAGGAATTTTAATCATAATTTCTCCTTTTCTTTTTCCTGCAATAAAGAATAAATTGCGAAAATCACTTGAATTAGTTTGGTGGTCTTGGGTTATGGATGCTCATGTTGTTGTGACTGGATTAAGGAATATAACAAGGAATTTGAAAATAAGGAAATGTCGAAGTCAGAAATACATAGATATTGATAGGGAGAGCGACAATTAAACTTAGCTATGCTTCAATACAAAATATAAATAAATAATATTGAATCGTTTGTTAGTAGAAAAATTAGGCTACTGTTGGTTGTTGCTGTTGCAGAAGCCGTAGATGTTGCTATTGCTGTTCAGATTGCTAATAGTTATCGTTACTATTTTCGTAAATTATTGCAGTGATTGTTGTTTTTGGAGTTGTTGTTGTTGTAGATGTTAGTTGACGCTGGGCACATTTTGGATCAGAATTGGTTAGTCAAGGCGGGTTCATGGAGATTTGATCGAGGGCGAGGTTTATTTTTGGGTTAGTTTTTCGGTTTTAGTGGTGGTTTTGGTTTTTTTTTTAAAGATGATTGCAGAAAACAGTCAACCAATCAATTGATCGAATCAAGCGGCAGGTTCTCACATATTTTCTGTTTTTTGTTTTAGGATTTCTCATTCAATTTAGTTTCAACTAGAGAGCGAACTTGATCAACTACTCAAAAGAAATGTTGGTTTATTCGACAATAGTTATGGGAAAATAAGAAAAGAATGGAAGATACATTTGATTAGCTTTCCATGATTATCGACTACGACAAATCACTCAAAGATACCAGAAATCGTCTAGAACAGCAAATCAAAACTCAATCAGCAACGAAAAATGAAAAGAAATAAAAAGAATATTCACGGAGGCACAGTTCCCCCATTTCAGGCAGGCGCAGGCAAGCAGAAACCAGGATCTAAGGAAACAATAAAAGTGTATAAAGGACAGCACTACGCATAAGATAGAGAAAATAATAAAAATGCAATTGTTTGGTTTTGTTCTTTTTTTGTTTATTTTTTTAAAATATTTTTTTATTTTTGTTTAATTTACAATTGTATTTTTTGTTGTTGTTTGTTTTATATTTCGGTAGAAATCAATCTCAAAACGCACAAAATCATAATAGATAGTTGTAATCGGTAAAGAATAGCAAAAGTGTTTAGATACTAGATACAAAGAATCGAAATCATTCAAGTTTTCAAGTTTATACACAGCAAAATCAACAGAGGCGACAAAAAACATAAAGTGCGCAAACTAGAGGTTTGGGGCTGAGGCGCTTTTGGGGCGGGGAAAATACTCTTTTGTGTACAATATACAAATAATTCTAATTATAATTCCAAATCAATGCAAAAGTGTTGAGCTACGATTTCTGTTTTCGTGTGTATGTTTGATTCACTGCCAAGAAATTAATAAGCTTATATAGTGATTTATAATATACATAAGTAACGATTAATTCTGTTTTGTATTCCTCCAAAGCAAAATGAAAACTTTTGCTTCGCTTACGGTGTTTTTGTGTTTTTTTTAAATGTGGTTTTCTTTTAAATGTATATAATTAAACAATAAGTACTTAAAAACAAAGTTGATAACATTTTCTTGTCGTATTCCTTTACATGATAATAATTATAATATTATGGACTGGACTTTAACATAAAAAGTAAGGTTTCGATTATGTGTAATTATAATTCTTTAAGTTTTGTTTGTAGTTTTTTAAGCAACAGAGACAAGCACAGCGAAAAAATGAATTTTCGATTTGAATAAAGCAAGAAATTAAAAGGCATATTTAAGATGAATTAAATTTATAATATTTATATCTAGAGAACTACATATTTTGTTTTAACTCTCGGGTTTGTTGGTGTGAGTGAGTTGTATCTGTGTGCGTTCGTTTTGTGTTTCCGTTTCCGTTTTGTGTTTGTCAGAGTTTTGGGCGAAACAAATATACGGATCAGGAATATATTTGCATTCGTTTAGCACACATCGAAAAAAGTAGTAACCAAAAAGTTAATCTTTTTGTGTTCACTCTCCATTTCACTTCTCTGGGTCTCGATATTTGTTTTATTTTACTTGCGAAGCTCCAGGCACAATAGACTTCATTATAATACAAAATTAGCAAAAACTATATAATTTCTTAACCTTTAACTTTTCATTTTATTGCGTATCCGTCGTTTGCGTCAAACACAAAAATTCATTCATTTTTCTTTTTTTTTCCATTGTGGTAACTATTAGAAATTGTTAACTAAGAAAATTTCACTAATTGTTGTAGCTGCTGCTCCTCCGTCCGTTTGTTTGTCCGTCCGTAAGTACGTTGCTTCTTCGTATTTGTATCTGTATCCGTTTCCGTATGGTTATGTTGGTGTGTCTGGTCTGCATTCGCATTCGCCTGCAGCTTCAACGTCTTTAATTTGCAGTATAAAACTAAAATTTCAACTTTTTTCCTCTTCTGCTGCGTTTTGTATGTTGTTTTGTTTTGTTTTTTGCTGATGTTTAATATTATTTGGTGTTGACAGTTTATGTTGTTGGTTTTTTGTTTGTTGTGGTGTTGATTGGTTGGTAGGTTGGTTGGTGTGTTGGGTTGGAGAGTAGACACACTTACTGTTCTTGGGGATCAGTATCACTCTCCTCCAGTTCGCTCTTGTTGCGTCGCTTCTCATAGATGAGAATGATGATGCACAGAATCAGCACCTCAGCACAGATGCCCAGGAAAGGCCACAAGGCGGCAAATTTGCCTAAGGAAAACAAGGAAACATTTAGTAATTAATCACTTTGGATTACTAGTAAAACCAAGGTCGCATACTTCGTCGTCCATTATTGGTTGCATTTTACTAGATTACCTATTTATAATTGCATTTGCTAACTCATTTACATAGGTGAGGATAACATGTAACTAATTTTCTCATCTAAAAGTAAACTCGAAGAATATTTGTCTATCTAATTCATTATATAATATATAAATATTTTATTATTTAAACTTTTTGTTATTGCATTTTTAACAAAAAATAATCACTATAAAGATCTGAAATCAAAAGATATGCATACATTGCAAAATCTAACAATTTCATTTAAAAAAGCACTTTCAAGTCTGAAGGTTAATAGCAAACCAATCTCGAGGAAGGATAGCGACCTGGGGTTTTCGGCGAACATTAAATGGAGCTTAGGCGGCACTCCCATCCGATGCAAACTTACCCTTAACACGCACAGTTGTGAAGTCGCTGGCAGGAGCAGTGTGGGTGCCGTTCACACCATAGTCATTGGCCGCATTGCGTCCATGGCATGTGTACTCGCCTCTGTCGTCAAATGTCACATTATCCAGTGTCAGAATCGCGTTCTGGATCTTGTTGTTATCCGGTTTAAGGACGAAGCGATCTGTGGCGTTCGTCAGCGTAACATTGCCTGCAGGAAGAAATTCACCCAAGTTAAATTTAATTTCCAGATGAATGGTTAGAGAACTCACCGAAAGTCCATGACAACTGTGGGTCGGTTCCCACAACGGTGCAGGTCACCGACATCTTCTCTCCCTCCACAACGGCTGTATTTGAAGGCACTCCCACAATAACGCGAGCTGCAGGCGATAAAGAATTTCGATCATTTGGGGTTTGTGGTTGTAAAACGCGTCCACGACTTACCAATCACATTGATTTTTTTAGATACTCCGTCGATCTCGCAACTGTATTCGCCATCGTCACCTATAACAGTTTTGTCAATTATGAACTTTTTCTCGGCATCAATAATCCTAAAGCGATCGCTAAGCTTTTTTATCGCCCTGACGTCGGTGCCGTTCTTTTTCCTGTTTGGAAAATAATTAAGGACATATACAGGAGATTAGTTTGGTAATAAATGGTTTGGTTTTAATACTTCGTTCGGTAATATTTTCTAACTAATCACCATTATCAATATCAAAACGTTCAACGGGGTACCCAAAACTTTGAAAAATATCAAAAACAAAGAAAGAGTCAATGTAGTTTTTTATTGTTTTCTCTGTAGGTATTTTCTGGCAGAAAAACTCATTTATCTAAATGAATTCTACAGTTATCGCTGAATGGCCCGGCTGCACCTACTTAAGGTACGAACTTTCTCTTGGCCTTCCGCCGTTCTCTACGCCTTTTGCCAATTATTCAAAGACTAATTCCACAGCGGCACACGCAAAGTTTGGCCCTGGCCCCAGAACAAGAATAGGAACGAGAACGAGAACCAGGGACCCGGACAGGTCCCGAAATGAACAAAAGTGTCATTACCATTACCAGACCCTGCTGCAGAGCTCGGAGCTCCGGCTACCAACACTAACCGGTCCCAGACAGGAAGGCACTTTTCAGTAACCACCCCCTTAAAAGTGCCGCACATCAGACCCCACTCAACTGTACACATTCGCACAAATGGCACCTTATTGTACCCTTGCACAGGGTATTGCTAATTATTAACATAAGTTTTGCAAAAAAAAAATATTAGTATCTCCATTTCCTTAGTATCGTCCCATTAAGCTTTAAATTAATCAAATATTTTTCTAAGTTAGTGCTCAAATATATGACTGCTCTTCCGGTTAAAATAACACATTTTTGTTCAGTTAATATTTTCTGCAGTGTGTTCGACACTTCGTTCTTGTTTCGGTTGCTGGGTTACGTCAGTCAAGCAGTCAGTTAGGCAGTCAGGCCAACATAATTAAGCAAAAGTGCTTAGCTGTGCCGTATTAAAATGATTGCTCTTATAACTACTAACTATGTGGGACACAGACACAAATACAGACCCTCCCTGCCTCGCTACATCCTCCGGATATTTTTGGGAACCCTAAAGTGGGTTGTTTGGGAATGACTTACCATGTAAGAAGGCTCTGCGTTTCTTCTGTCACGTTGCAGCTGAGAACCAGCGGCAATTTGATTTCGAAAAATTTCATTTGATGCTCGATATTATCATAGTTTGGCACCAGCTTATCTGGAGATTGTACAGATAGATATAACATATTAGTCATATATTGGCAGGGGCGGGATGCATTCTAATATTGGGATACGAGAAAACGTTTACATAAAGAACTGCTTAAACAAAGTTTATTCTAATAACTTGTATATAAAGATAAATATATTTGCTTATAGGAATAAATTGAGAACGAGCTTAAAGTATGAGGGGTTTGGTGGAGTTTTTTTTTAAAGAAATTCTGAGGTTTTGTTTTGATATTTTTGTTTGGCTGAAAGATGGGAGCTTGATATTCGGTTTTGAAATCTGACTAAATTGCTTATAGGAGTAATGATAAATTAGCAACACACAAATCACTAATATCAAATCAAAGGTGAAGCAAAAAAAAACCAAGTATATTCGTAAAACTAAAACTAAAACTTAAGAATACGTATAAATAAAACAAAAGAGCATACAATTTGGTCAATCGAATTTTATTCATCCTTTCTGGTATAAAACACATTTTTGTACTATTTCGAAACTTGGACTGAAATCAAATAAACTTCATTTTACGCTGCATGTGAATTAAGATTACTTGGATTATTTACGTTTATGTTTGATTAGTTTGGTATGTATAGTTGATTAATTTATCTGTTAAGATAGCTGTAATGTAAAGTAGAGCAAAATTAAGTAAATTTATGATTATCGATATACAAAATGCGATACATATAACATTTAGATTGATTCTCGAATTATCGACAGCTCGATAGACAAGAAGCGCAAGCAACAAAAGCAAGAGAGCGAGAGAAAGAGAATCAGCAACTCGTCACGTGTTGTTTTTCCGCCTTATCTGGCAGACTGATTGATTATAATCAGCTCGTAAGCCTAACGCTGCCAATTGTAAACTTTATGCGTCATCGCAAACTGGCTGCCAATCAAATTCGAATCGGAATCGAAATCGTAATTGAAATCGAAATCGATGCACCTGCCGTCTGTGTGTTCAACAATCAGAGTAAACAACCAAAGCGTTAAAGAGAAAAAACCAAAGAAAACAAGGACACACAAAAAAATTTCAATTCAATAAGTCCTTTTAAAACTCTTTAAAGATTAAATTTATCATACATTTTTTTAGACAATGAAAAATATCATGTTGATCTTCTCTAGTCAATTCAAAATAAAATCAAATTTATCTTAAAGAGTTATTTTTATATTACAAATAATTTTAATATTCTCAAAATAATTAAACAAAGGTTTTCTTTATCAAAAATCAATTTTAGTTTTTGTTTTATAAGAAATGGGATCTTTTTTAATCAAAATTTTTTGTGTGCGAGAGGAAAATACAAGGAAAAACAAAGATAGAAGAAAGACAAGACAGGGCAACAAATGAAATCAAGAGAAAGTTAAGCGCAAAAGACAAAGAAAGAGCGAAAATGATACGAAAGTTCAGGCAAACAACTCAAGCTTAAATTAAAGGTGTGACCATATGTGGATGTGTGTAATGTGGGTGTGTTGTGGGTGTGTATGGGCGAAGGTGAGAGCGAGAGAGTCAACAGCGAGCTTGTCAAGGTCACTTTGAGTGGGGGCGAGAGAGAGGGCGAGTTAGCTAGACGAGCGATTAACGTTTAATTAAAAACCAACAACACCAAATTTAGACTAGCGAGGTTGATGCAATGGAAAGAGACGCAATGGCGAGAGCAAGCGAGAGGGGCTAATGAGGAGAGAGTGAGAGGGTGGGGTGTGGGGCCGGAGCTTAGATCAGATGCAGTTCGAAAGAGACAGAGCGAGTGGGTGGGGTGGGCGAACGATTGCAGCGATGACACTCAACCTTGTTCTCATTTTCAATTGCACAAATCGTCTGATTTCGGAAATGTGAAAGCGCTTTTCCTACCAGAGATTTCAAATCTCTTTAAAACGGTCTATAAATGTATGCTGTGAAAAAATGATGTTTTCATTCTGATCCTTTACCTGAAGGATTTCGGAGTTCAAAATATATTATGCACAAAAACTGAGATTTGCAGAAGTTTAACAAGCTAAACAAATAACTTTAAAAAAGTTTTTGACTAAAATCTGACAAATGTATTAAAATATTAGCATATAAAATTTTTTTAATATATTTTAAACAAGCTTTACAGGTATCTATACTTATCAGGATATTGTCCTTAGCAATAATCGAGGGAATCATAAAAGCTATTGAAAATGGGAGCAAGGCTGTACGATAACAAATTACAATGGCAGTTTCGATCGGCGCGAGCGAGATAAAAGCCAAAAAACGAACAACAACCAAGTGGGCATATACAAGTCGAACTTTAATAAGAGGTTTTTTGAGTGTTTCATGTGTGTTTTATGTGTGTGTGTGTGGCTCACCCATCTTGACGGGCAAGAGCGTCTGGTGCTGCAGATGCACCTGGCCACCCATCAGCATGTGGCCGCCAGCACCCATAATTGGGGCACTGGAACCCGCAGGACCTGCACCACCACCACCAACCATCATGGCCTTTGTGCTGGTGGCTGTTGAAATGGTGGTTAGCTCTCCTCCTCCTCCTCCTACGCCTCCTCCTGCTCCGCCACCTGTTCCTGATCCCACCACTGGCGGCACATAGTGCGGTGCATAGGTCTGGTAACGCTCATTCTGACCAGGATTGGGTCGCGGAGGCAGTGGCAACTGGAAGGCGTTCAGCGTGTGCTGCGCCTGCTGCTGCAACTGTTGCTGGTGGTGGGCATGGTGGTGCGCCGTCGTCAGGAGCAGGCTGGCCTCCGTGGCAGTGGCGCTGGCAGTGGGATTCGTCTGATTGTACAGTATGGTGGGTGGCTCCGGCGGTGCCACCGTGTGCTCCTGCTGATTGAAACGCGGTGGTGGAAAGTCCGGCGGTGTGGCCGAGTAAACGCGATGGATCCCGCCGCCTCCACCTCCCCCCGCTGAGGGATGCCAGTGCTGAGAGCCGGACAGGCTGGCGTTTCCATAGCCCAAATGCGACTTGTGCTGCTTGTGTGTCTGGTGGGGCAACTGTTGCTGCTGTTGCTGTTGCTCCTGCCACGTTCGTGTGAAGAAGTCATCCGCCGAGTTGGGCGTCAGCTCGTCGATGGTTTGGTATCCGGACTCGGTGGGTTCGCCCGCTCCCGCTCCAGCTCCCTTGGAATCCCGCACGTGCAACATGTGATAGGGGCTGTGGAGTTGGTTGCACTGGTAGCGACCCTCGTGCACCTTGAGGGCGTGCCGCACTTTCAAATGCGCCTCAATCTTGTGCGTCTCACCTTTAGCGGGAGCAACAGATGACCAGATGAGAGGTGGAATCATCAACTTCTCCTGATTTAACTCCTCCGCCAAAATACTCACCCTCGTATGCACTCTCCGACAGAGCGTAGGCATGATCATCGCGCCCGTGCCGCAGATTGTGCCGTGTGATCGGCTCTCCGTTCTTGATCCAATGGATCTGCTCGGTGATCGGTATAATGCAGGTGATCGAGAAGGGCTGGCCCAAGTTCACATTGGACTCGCCATAGTAGACGACCGGCGGCGACCCGAACTCTGTGGACTCCTCGCTCAGGTCGTTGGCTGCTCCCACAACAAAAAGCGAACGTTGGTATAGGATTCAAGGGTCTCACAATGAACTTATTATTATTCTAAGAAAAGTGCTGGTCAACAAAATCGAAAGGGTACCGCAGAAATCTCTACTGATTTCAAATCACTTAAAACTCGTCTTTTGGTAAGCAATTATATAACAAATTCCCGATATAATATTTCGCAGCTTAGTTTCAGGAGTTTTCAGAATCCGCTAGAAATCTCTGCGGCTTCCCCTAATTGATTAGTGATTGTAAGCAATTTTGTTCGCAAGTCTTATTTCTTTCTTTCGTTCTTTTTTCAAAATTAAGATATATTGAAAAAACCTTATTTCCAGATTATCATATTGCTTGAAAACTACTATCCCAATCACCAGTTTTCAGTAGTGTGATTAAATTTCGTTGACCAGTGTAAACGACTTCAAATCATAAAATTGAAATGAAATTCAACGCAAAAAAGGAGAAACGAAAAACGATCATCAATACTTCCTAATATTATAAATGTATTTGCGATGACTTATATTATATGTATTTTTCCCGTTTATGGTATTTATTGAATAAGTTGCGATCGATTATTTGATTTCAGCGCCAAGTTGCAAACATATATATCAATGTTGGAATTTATCTGGTCGAAATGCTTATATGCTGTGGGCAAATTTCTTTTTGGGGAATAGAGGAGGGAGGCTAATAAAACACATTTTCACACAGAACACAAAAAAACACAACGGATGAAAAATAAACTACCATAAACCGAAAATTTATTTACATAATGGTGGAAATTAACACTAACTTATGTATCGATATATATGGGGGTTTTCTTACTGCACTGATTGATTTATCGTAACTTAATCGACAAAAGGCAAAGAAAGAGATAGTGGGTAATAGTGAGACAGAGACAGTTGTATTGATGTGTGTATATATGTATAGTACTTTTTGTTTGGTCAACCCCTGAAAAAATTGTTCTGAAAATACCCCCAATAATACCCAATCCTAGGTAAAAATTTGTTAAAAGTGGTAAACAATATAACTAATCAATTGCCCATTTACGCTATGGCTGTAATTTCTAGGCGCTAAAAAAACTTTCTAAGAAATTATTGCTTTAATACCATGTCATTATGAGATAGTACAATTTTGGTTAGAGATAGTCGAAGATATGACGTCAATGACTCAATGATGAAGTCATTGGTTGAAAGCTAAATGTAAGTGAAGACATTTAACATTTTATCAAATAAATCAAGCATTTATTTACTTTATTTTGGACGAATATTTTAAATTTACAATTATAGATTTTATTAAACTGTTTTGCCTTGAAAAAGTTGTTGTTTTGAGTGTACCTAGTAACAATAAATATTTTAGCTTTAAATTTATTTATTTTAAATAGATGTTTTGGACTCAAAAATAGTGGCGAAAACAATAAATCTTTATGTTCGTATTTCAATTGTGTATATTTATTTAAATTCGAAACTTCCTGTAAATGTATTGGAATTGACAATGTTTTTTGTTATTCATATCTGAAACTCAATATTTTTCCAAAATCCTTGGTAATTGGATTTTTTGCTTGCCTTTTGGTTCATTCTAATCAAAAGATAGTTGGAAACTATGACGTCAATTGGCTGTGACTGGTTTAAACTGCATTGATGACGTCAATTTCGACCAGTTTTAACTGCATAAGCCCACAGAGACCTGCTGCGAAGCCTTGTGGCAATCCCATTATAACTTGTTGAGTTGTTATCGCCAAGTACCTTGTGATAACACACAGCAGCAGTGCCATAAATATTTGTGTAATTGTGTGTGCCCAGGGAGTGCGTGTATTTGTTCGTACATTTGCCTGTTTATTTGCCGGATGTATTACAAAACGGACTGTCGAGCTTGATAAAAAGTAAACCGAACCGAACACAGCAACATGGAGGCGAATGAAGCATAAGCACACAATCTTATCAGCTGATTAAAGCAGTTAGCGAGCGGTCGGACAATGTCTTTATCTTTATCCTTATCGCTGTCATGTCAACGCACATGCACACAATCTCGCACGTTTGCACATAACTGATGTTAAATTATGTTTACTTCTCCCCTGCCATCTGCTGACATTTTCCTTTTTTTATTCTGCCTCTCGCATTAAAATTAACCCTTTCGTTGCCAACAATACAATACTTGACATTTCAAAATTCCAAAAGATAAGATATCATGGATCATGGAAATGTCTCCCTTTAAACAAATTTTTTTACTTTGGTAGAGTTTAAAATATTTCGAAACACTTTTAGGAAAGCCTAATTTATTGAGGAAATACATTTATTTACATTATTTCTATATTTTTAATGGTGTTGTACGTTACAAGTAATGAAAAAGATATTTTATTATTCAATACGAACAATGAACAAAAAGCAAATAAGTTAAATAACAAGTTACTGTTTTCATAGTTATTAATTTGTAAATTAATTGATTGAAAAGTAACTCGTTTTTGTAAACAATTTTCCAGAGTTTCCCAGTTACATCCTTTGGGCAAACAGAGGGTTAATTTCAGGAAAATGTAGATTTTTCCGCACATATATACACACGCATCGGGATAGAGAGAGAAAAGCGCGAGAAGAGCTACAACAATTTATTTTACAAACATGTTACATGCACGAGTCGAGCTGCCGCCAAAGTCTAAAGCGCCACCCTGCCACCATACCACCCCATTTTCCCCAACCCCTCACCCAACGCCCACCGAAAATGCTTTTGTCACATTGGACAGCCCAACTACACGGCTAATGGGCGGGAGGGAGATGGGGCTACACAACACAACGGAGCATATTGCAGCCGGCAGAAGCACAAAGAGAGAGAAAGAAAGAAAGAGAGGAGACAGCAGACAGCTGAACAATAATTTAAATTTATACAACACTGTCGCACACACTCTCGTTTAAATGTATTTATATGTATGTACCTTACAGGTGCCAGGGCTTCAAGCCAATTTAAAATTTCATTTAATTCAAGCTAAAGATGCTTTTATACATTAAACGTAAGTGTCAGTTTCTAAGGCGGTTAAGTAATGCGGATCGTTTCCCCGTGTTTATAGGACGTATACGTTATATTGTCTGTTTCCTATTAAAATTACGCATATGCAGCGTTGTCATTACCCTAATATTGGTAATATTTTTTTTTATTCAATAGCTATGATTACAATATTTACTCAATTTCTTAATAATAGTACTACGAATACGCAGTTTGCGGTAAAACTGTACACATATTTCAAAATAATAATAAATTATCACCAAAGCCATGAATTAAAAGAAGCTTCAAATATATCTTTACCCGGCAGTTTATTGTTTCTGTAAATCTACCGGGACTCACAGCAAACAAATAATCAACCATAAAAAAACAATCAACCTGAAACACTAAAACCCAAACCAAATATACTTTAGAAAACAAAAACCACACTATTTAGCTCACTCTGACCAAATTTTCGGAATAAAACCAAATAGTTGAAATGGCTTGCAGCCCTGGTGTACATAAGCACACCTTAGCATTCTTTCCTCGAACCTTTTCGTAACCACATTTCTCCGCCCGGCAAGTCCTAAACGCTTAACCGCTAGTTGCCGTTTTTGTTGCTGTCGGAGAACATGAAATTTATGGTTTATTGCTTGTTCATCTAGCTTAGTTTTTGTCGCATTCCTGCCTGCGCCAAATAGAAGTGAGCACAAAACAAATGAATGCGGTCCGAACAAGAGCAGGAGCCGGCTGGGGCGTCTAAAAAAGCGCAAAACTAACAGTTTATTTAATCAAATTTATGGGACCGCCTGTAGTCTGTGCAACGCCCCCCTCCCCGCACAAAAAAACGCCCCCTGCATCGCACACTTGTGACATATTGCTAAAGGCATTTCGGCTCTATGTGCGTACAAATTGGCAGGCGTTAATACATATTTATAGGCAAAACATCCAGAGGTACTTAAGCATATATAGTTTTCAATACTTAAAAAAATATTAACATATATTTATATTAAATAAACAAATTATAATAATATTTGAATTTTTAAATTTTATTTTGTAAATTAAAATTATCAATATTTTGCATCTGAAATATTATGAAGAAAAACAACTGCAAATTCGTAAAAATTATGTGGTTTCCCCCACAATTTTCGTCGAGTCTTGCAAACAACATTAGCATATTAAACGTGAACAACTTTGTGCTACGCACACCTTCAGGCTTTTATTATTTTTTAATGAAGGCATTTTGGTTTTCGTAAGAAACCACAACGAGAAAAGCAAATGATCGCTTTGTTATTGTTGTTGGAATTGGGGCTGTATTGCTATTTAGATTTGCCCTGTGTTATTGTCAAAATTGTTGTAGCCGAAAGCAATTAAAATAAAATTTACACAGAGAATTTGCAAAACCCCGCGAAAACGAACGCAAAGTGCACGAAAATTACACTAAACGACAATACAAAAAAAAAACACTGAATATAAGAAAATTAATTAACACCAAGCTAAAATTGTTATATGTATGTAAATGAATATGTGGCTTTAGATGTATCTGTGTGTTATTTTTAGCAGGCGCTGCGCACGTGAAAGCACAGTTTTGGGTGCACTGGATAGCCACATCGTGCGCAAACTAATTTTAAAAAGGTTTGAGGGTCACCAGCAGAACGAACACCCAACAATTCGGAAACTTTATGAAAATCTGATTTACAACTTTTGCAGTTGGAAAAAGTTTAAGCTCATTTGTATACAATTAAGACAAATTTAAATCTCCATGACTCAAGGCGTTGATATCCTGTAAAAATTACGTCCCAAAAGTGTGCTGCAATTTTGAGTTGAATATGAAACAAAAATCTTAAATTTCTATAACCTCTTAAGACATGTTTTTCATATCTAAACTATTGGCAAAAAAGGCACATTTAAAAATATAAGCAAATCTGTATCATTGTTAAAATGCCATAAACGAAAATATGTATACGCTAATATACTATTTTTTAAGTTCAAGATTTTAATTAAATAGTTTCCAAGGAGGCACTCTTTTCAATTAGAAATGAGATATCCTAACTATTGGTAATGC